CAATTGTAACTTGGCGGACCAAGTATTAGCAAACGTCACTTGTCTAGTGAGAAAGTGCCTTGCCTTCGTACACCGTATATTCGCCATCATACTTTATTCCAACAGGAGTGCATGAAACATTTGGAAATTTGAGAAAAGTCACAAAAGGAGGCGCAATTTACTGTGCATTCTCCGTATCTGTTGAAATCGCACGCACTGGATTAAAAAAAAAACACTCGTTGTGGTCATGACGAGTAGACCCCACCGAACTCATCGAACACCAGTGTGCTTCGCGTGGACAGGATGGGATTCTAACACAATTTCCTCATTCGTCTTGCCGTTTCACGGCTTGCAAATGGTCCCAATTATCACATGCACTTGACGTCTGGTTGATCAAATGCAGTGATACCCTAAAAAGCCGGCCGGCACCAAATTTAGCGCTTGGTGCACAGAATAGGATATAGTTTAGGTCGAGTGCTGCATTCATCCCCATCCCCCCCCCCCCCCCCCCCCCCATATATCCACAAGTATGCAGTGGCGTGTCCAGGATTTGGCTGAGGGGGTCGTGGCCGGGGGAGATGACATGGTGCACATGACTGTAATGATGTATGTCACGCACCTAGCTATCCAACATTACAAAATGATTACATGCCAGGTATTTCTTCCAGACCTACACTATACAGATTAAAGTATCTCATGCTCAGTTACTACAGTGCGTATCGGTTATAGCGTGGTCGTGTAAAAGAATATACTACTTACAAGAATGAACTCTCATATTTTTATAATCATAACATGGGTTTCAAGTGAACATTTATTCTTACTTCCTCCGCGTCATTAAAATTGCTGCTTCCCAGAGCGATTTTTCGAATTTATTTTGTCCACTCGAAGGGCAAAGAAATCAGCTAGAAATTGAGGCAGGGCATTGTCGACGGACCAAGCTTTAGTTTGTGGCCTCCCGCTTCGCTGCACTTGCAGCTAAGGTCGACGTCTTCATCAGAGTTTGGGGCAGGCCCTTCAGCACTCCACAATGTGCTGAACAAGACGTGCGTTCAAATTCAGGTAAAGAAACTTCGTTTTCAAGCGATCCATGCCTCCAGGTGGCAGGCGATGAAGGCAAGCTAGCATTTTTTCAAGTACACTGTAACGATCTTCCAGCGGGATAGGGTAAGTAGTTCCGCACCTTCTTTCCTTGGCAAGCGCTTCGCTAATTTTGTTGGTGTTTTCAGACCTGCTACCTTCGTAGCAACATGCGACACAAGTAGCGCATTTTAGGAATTTGAGAACACTTTGTTCTTGCAATCGTCAACTTCAGCATTTCGTATTCAGGAGAGATACCAGGATTCTTATACCCGAGCTTGCAGTCTTGATAAATACCCACGCGAACGATATGGGACGGCACGAACTCCAGAAAAACAATATGCGCTCTGGGGCGGAAGAGTGCGGAGCACAATGAATTTGCTTGGTGCGGAAGAGAGCTCCGACAAAGTCCGAGACCACCACGGCTTCAGTAACAAGTAGAGATTGCGCAGGAAGGGTCGCACCAATGCTCGAACACAGAAAACAGCGATTCCGACAGTCTGACTAAGACGAGCCAAGTCACAAACATTGCGATGTGCGCAGCGACAATTTTAATGACGCGGAGGAAGTACAAGCAAAGTTATCGCATTGTAGAATATATCGGTCCTAAAGCTGTGTTCACAACTGGCGCGTGTACGCGGTACGCTTGCGGTTCATGTGTGCCCAAACGCGCGCTCAGGCTTTCACAAAAAAAACAGCAATCCGAGTCGTATTTAGCGCGTGCGACACCTTCGAGTACTAATTTTTTGACCCCGCCAGTCAAGGTGACTGGCATGTACGCTGGTACGCGCCTGATACGCGCTGAAAATTCCAACATGTTGGAAGTTCCATTCCGACGCGTTTCCGTACGCATGGCGCCCCAAAAGCCAGCAAAAATACGCACAAACACGTGGTTTCACGCGTACACGCGCCAGTTGTGAACACAGCTTAAGAATGGACTTTGTGTAGCAAAACATACCAGATTGGTACAAAGTGCATCATCGCCTGTAGATGAGTGTAGTAATAACATCTGTCCAATGCAGTTCTGCTCCGACTCGCATTGCATTGTAATGCTCCAGGTTCAACTGTTCTTGTCATGTATCTCATGCTGCATAGCCACATGGCAAGCGTATGGGACTATAAACACCCGCATGCACAGCAGAGATACGTTGTATGTATGATGACCATCCTGTATCTGCGCACATGTATCTGATATGTAACACTTGACTTATCGCGAGTAAGAAGTATCTGAAATAAGAATAGAAAGTCGTTTTTCAAACACCCGCGCTATAACCGATACCTACTGTACATTGTACAATCATCAGTCATGTTACTTGTACAGTACATCCTTGCCCAATTTTTATTGGAGCATATCATGCTGTTCTTTATCATGTTTTGGCTGCTCACTGACAACAGGTACTGGCACCTCCGCGTCCGGCGGAAAGTCAGTCTGCTCCGAACTGGACTGGCAACGACTTGATCACTCCCGCTGTTTCCTGTTGGAACAGGAATTGCGCCGTCGCAAGAACGCTTTGTAAAAATCCATCAAGGCTCTGCTGGCCAGAGCTTGTCTTCTTTGATCCATGGATGTCGCTGAGACTTCGCAGAAAAGTCTTCAAGTCCACCAATTCGCGATTCGAATCTGGAGGGGATCATCCTCCAAACATCGTTGTACAACGTTGCGAAAAGAGGCGCTTGACGATCACAATGTCGTCACGGGTTTGAGAACCGCGAACGAGGCTAGCTCAGTCGGTAGAGCATGAGACTCTTAATCTCAGGGTCGTGGGTTCGAGCCCCACGTTGGGCGCCAAATGTCGTCAGTTTATTCCGACGAACTGCGGCTCTCCTCGCCACTCCACACAACAACAAAAGACTCGTGCACACTGGGAGAGAGAGCGTTTTCTCTAACTGGCTTTCAGTAAGGGGACTGGAGAACTGCGCTCCAACAAAACGGACAAGAGAATATATTATGGGGACGTGGAGAAAAGAGGGGAAAAAGTGGGGTGAGGGATACTAAAGAGGTGCCTGTGCAAAGTACAACAAGGCCTGAACAGGACGGGAGACAAAGACGAACGACGGGGAAATACGACGGACACAAGACGGCAACCAGACAAATACAACGGAGACAAGACGAGAAAATGTGTATGCAACGGGGACGAGATGATAAATAATGCATACGGAGGGGACAGAAGACGGTGCAGCGGCATGTACTAAGCATTCCAAGACGGCGCAGCGGCGTGTACCACGGGTCAGCAGCATGTACGACACAGAGACACATACGCAGCCACGTGTACGACAAAAGAGACACAAGCGCAGCCACATGTACGACAAAAGAGACACAAGCGCAGCCACATGTACGACAAGAGACACCCGCGCAGCCGCATGTACGACACAGAGCTACAAGCGCGACCACATGTACAACAACAAGCTTTGTTTTTGTCCCACTTGGGCAGCGCTGCGTTCAGCACATCACTGCACGCCTTTCTCAAGACGCATCGAGCGCGTCCTGGAATCTGTACAAAAGTATAGAGCTCGTACAGAGTCGATCATTTCTTTCGCAGTGCAATCAATGCCGCTCACACACCGACGGTCTGTGCAACCGGTTTTGGACGCTGCTTCCCACCGCGTAGAGTCTACCGCCTGTGCACATGGTGCATGTAGCAGCCTGGTGTTTTTTCAAACCCAGGTCGAAATGTTTTGAAGGGGGTGGGAGCGTGCCCCCCCCCCCCCCGTAAACCCGCCAATGCTATGTGATAGGGACCATTAGCAAGCCGTGAAACTGCAACGCGAAGGGGAGCTGGGTTAGAGTCCCGGCCTGACCACGCGAAACATACTCGTGTTTGACGAGTTCGGAGGGGTCTACTCGCCATGACCGCAACAAGTGGGTTTTAGTCAAGTACGTGCGAATTCAACCATGAAGCGGAGAATAGCACCGTAAATCGCGCCTCGTTTGGTCTTTGCGATTTTCTTCAAATTTCGAAAAATGCCTCACCCATTCTTGTTGGAATAAATACGATGGCGAAACGTACCAAACAACCAGTAGGACCATTGATTTTGGCATAACCGTTACTAACATGACACAGAACAGGATCGAGGGTAACCACAGTGCCAACATTTATGCTTGTTCAAGACAAACTTCAGCTTGCTCGCTCATTTATGTTTTGGCATGGACCTCGTGAACACAACCCTTTGCTGCACCCATCCATCGGCGATGTGGCTGTCATGGGGTTTCTTTCACTTTCATTCGGGTAAAAGTCAGTCAGGCTGAGAATTGTTCTCAAGAAAAAGTTCGCAAAAATAATTGCCAGTAAAAATATCAGAAAACTGTTTGAAACTGGAAAGCAGCCGACTCGCGTAGACGGGTTGTGAACGCGAGAAGCTAATTCTCAATCACGTCGTGTTTCACGTGCGTTCCGATGAACTCGTTCCTGTTGACGTTTCACGGCTTGCTAATGGTCCCTAATAGTTTTCCCAGCCCCCCCCCCCCCCCCCCCCCCCCGTTCAATCTCAGGTTGGCTAGGACCATGGAGGCAATATCGTTATTTCGTACTCGGACCCCTACCCCCACTCTGAAACAAACGCAGCTTGCTATGCTGGACGACGATAGTCACATGCATGTACAAGTACAATGTACAGTGTCGGTCGAGTTGTGATTTTGGCTCACACCCGCATCCCCCCCCCCCCCCTCCCACTCCAAAACGAATGATGCTCTCGTTTCAGAGACGACAAAAAAACTTTTGCGACAACCCCTAACGAAAACTGTACAAGCTCACGCGCCCACAGACTCGTAGTACATGCCTCGTACGGTAGGACTCGTCATCTCCAGAAAAGTCAACAAAATGAAACATTCCGCCATGGCCAGACCAAGCGGAGTTACACTCTCTCGTGTTTATGTACTCTTGATCTCATGGACAGCTGTCCAAATGTAGGACATGATGGTGGGAGGTGCACCTCGCGTGACACCT